GTGGATCTTCGAAGGGCAGGGCGTACCAGTCACCGTGGGTTTTGCGCATGTAGTTGAGCATGTCCTGCTTGCTCCGGTCGGCAGAGACGAACACGACCTGTGGCCCCAAACAAGAAATGTAAATTGCCAATGTTGAAGACTGGCCGTCTTTATAAAGCATGCTTGTAGATTGTACACGCGCGCACCTGATCGACGGGACACAAAAAAGATACACACGCAGCAAAACGCCAGCTTCGAACAATGAATTTTATTCCACTTTCTGGCGGAATTAAATAAAGAAACATTGTCAAGAGAAAAAACATCGAACGAAGAAAAAAAAACAAGAGTGTACGAATTGGTCTACCCGACATCGCCAAACAGTCTAGTCATAAACATTTTACTGAGGTGAAAGAGAAAAGAATGATGTACACTATTTCTATTTATGACACGAAGAAACATGTATATTTTTCACATATAGGTTGACTGACGCCACCCTTATGCACTAGTTACTTAGGTGCACGATTTAGGCTGTTTCATTTATCTCGCGCGTCAGTTTTTCGCCACTTTTTCTTACAATGCAGCAGTTTTCAAAAATTGGTTGGCATCCACGATATCTTTAAAAAAAAGAAAAGGGCAGTGTCTAGCAAATGCTCGTTTCACGTGGAAAGTAGGCGCTTTGTTGTAAGTGCATCTTTCTTGTGTTCCACATATCAGTTGTTCTATACAATCTACACAGTCAAGAAGAGTATACATGTCACAGAGCACTGTACGTAAGTGATGCATCTGCTGTCCTATATATAATCAGACCGAATTTCTCGCATGATTAGGAGATAGATTAGAAAGCGAGATCCTCGAAGCTTTCCGCAGTGCGCGCGCAGGAGACACGTGCATGCGGCTCCGGCGCAGGAGACCGTTAAATGCAACGTGGTATTCAGAAATGATAGGGCAAGGGTGGTATCGAGAAAAAGACGCCGTTGTGTGACGGGGTGGATCACTAAACGCTTCGACTCGGAACAGACACTGCAGATACGACTGCGAATTAACATCTCCACCTTCTCAGAAGTGTCGTCCGAAAGCATTGTAAACTATTTGGTTTTCAGCACTAACTTTGTTACTCCTCGCAAAATAAAGGTGCACAAGTCAATGGGATATCACAGCTGCTTTTACCAGCGGCTGTGTAGAGCCAGTCTGCAAAGGAGCTTCGCGACCGTAAATTTGATCGTGCTTTCAGACGTAAGTTGAACGGTTCATCGAATTGACCCATGCATTCGCCAACCCCAGGATATCAAACAGCAATGCACGAACGCTGCTAAATCAAAGAATTCCGATGTGAACGTTGCGTTCTCGTGAGAGTGCAGGGATATGCTCATTTGGCAGCCCGTTTTTCCATCCCACGTCCCCATCACTGCCCGATTTGCTTATATTGTCACGTAAGAGTGAGGGTAGCCCGAAGACAGGAGACCGGGAGGTTAGTAGAAATAGAAGGAGATCAGTTTATTTGGCGGACTTGCGCCCACTAAAGGAAAACAGACACACCGGCTTAGCGGGAGGCGAACAGCGCGTTCGACGGCCGTCGGGGAACAGAAAGTCCCACTGGAACGCAAGGCGCGTTCGACGGCCGTCGGGTAACAGAAATGTCCCACTGGAACGCAAGGCGCGTTCACCATCCGAGATACAGTCGCCGTAGCGTCTGGCGCTATCTCGTTATCAACGAATGGTCGACGTGCGGGCCATGATCTTCGCAGATGAGTCGCGGTGCATCCTGGACCACGATAAGGCCGCGTGCCGGCGGTATCGGCATGCGCAACACTATCCGCAATACGCCTCGCGGCAATATAAACATAGAGGGATGTATGTGGTGCGTGTGTGTTAGCAAGTACTGAGGGTTTAGCCAATGCATGCGGACCGTTATCGAGAGCGATCCGCATTTGGCTTCATCAACACGCATCGGCCTCAGCTTGCCCTTTTTCGTGACGCGGTCAACTGCGCGCTCAAGTTGCGCAGCGCCTGCACGCTTGAAGCTGTAGCCGAGTGCCCAGTCTCGGATGGTAGCGTCGAAAACGCGGTCGGCTTCTCTATGAACACCAAGAGTAACCGCTTTAATTAATGTTTTCATGTATGCTCTCTTGTTCACTAGTCTACTACGGAATGCGCTCCACGCACACGAGCGTTGTTTTCTACGTCGAAATTTGCGCGCATTATGTGCGCCAGCTGAGCGTTTTCGTGCGCTCGCACTGGCAGGAGCAGCGTCAAGATTTTTCTTTTCTTTGTGTGCGTGTGGGGGGGGGGGGGCACTGACGACAATTACGTTCCTTCATAGAGGCAGGGAGGCGTTGTGTTGTGTTTTGACTATGCTTGCTCATGGGGGGGGGGGGGGCGGATGCGAGAATTTCGGAGGCTCAAGCCCACGTGCCCACATTCACTAAACAAAATTACACCATCTCCCCGAAGGGGGACCATGAGGTGATGCAGAGCATCGCAGGTGTTTCCAACAAAGCGTTCACGCGATGCGTGGTAACGAGCCAAGTCAACGTAATAAGTTAACACGCAAGATTCACCACAAAGGTAACACTTAAAAACACCGTTGAAACTCCCCGCGATGCACCCCTGGCCACCTTCGGCGAGATCGTGTGTGTGTGTGTGTGTGTGTGTGTGTGTGTGTGTGTGTGTGTGTGTGTGTGTGTGTGTGTGTGTGTGTGTGTGTGTGTGTGTGTGTGTGCGTGTGCGTGTGCGTGTGTGCGTGTGCGTGTGTGCGTGTGCGTGTGTGTGTGTGTGTGTGCAGCGCTTTCTTTTAATATTTAGCGTGGCATCCCTATCGGAAAAATTGCCATGGTGGATACTGGAAAACATGGTGGGAGTAGTGGAAATAATAGTGGGCATGGTGGAAATAATAGTGGGCATGGTGGAAATTATGATGGCTATGGTGGGACGTAGTGGAAAATATGGTGGTTATGCCGGGACATACTGGGTGGTATGGTGTACAGATGATGGGTAAAGTGGAAATGATGGTGGAAAGCAGAGGCTAGATAGTGGGCAATAATGGGACACTCTGCCCACCATTGCGATAATGCTGGGAAGCCCTAAGCTTATGGTGGGTGGTGCTTATTATGGTGGGCTACATGGTGCACCAAGTTGAGAAACTCTTCCCACCATTGCGATAATGCTGGGAAGCACTAAGAAGATGATGTGTGCTGCTTGTTATGGTGGGCCACATGGTGTACCAAGCTGAGAAGCTCTGCCCACCATCGCGATAATGCTGGGAAGCAGTAAGCAGATGATGGGTGGGCTTATAATGGCGTGCAATTTATATAGTGTACAAAGCTGGGATCTGTACACTACATGTTCTACCACCATGATTTCCACCAAAGGTTAGACCGAGCCCGTACAATTGTGTTATCCGTGCTTCCGGGTTTCAGAATACATGATTACGACGATTAAGTATGACAATACAGCGCAGCCATATGGCATCAACTAACCTAAATGAAGCATTTTTCATTGTGTATGGTGTCCGCTCAAGAAGCAACAAATATCGATGCGACGCAATTAAAGCGCTCCCAGAGAACGTAATTAAGTGTCTTCTCACCGACAGCCGCCGGTCACACTCGCCGGCACTTCTCTAGCTTTTGTACGAGAACTCAGACGTGGCAATTCGTGTGCTTGGTGAACCAATATGACAGCGTAATGTTTCCGGCACACTGCATTCGTTTTGGCCAAGCCGTTATGTAGTTGTTGCTTTAGCGAAAGAGCTACAGCATTGCGCTGGCGCGACCACCCTCTACATTGCGCGAAAAGCATCCCAATACTCAATCAAATAAATTAGGCGGGCGTATCTATGGAATGAGCCTAGAAGCGTCATAAAGCGTGAGCAGATGTCGCCCTTTAGAACGAGCGCGAAACGGATATTAAACTTGGCAGACCCCGCCGGTAAACTGTCGCTGCTCCTCAGTCCACTTGGTTTTTTTTCTTGAAGTTGTGAATTGCAAAAAAAATAGCACTAGTGTCATTAACATAGTGGCAATCGTTACAGGCCGCAGTTGCTTGTGTTTAATAAATGTGCAATATTTAGTAGCAGGTGTAGATCTTGTCTATGTTGGGTACACGACAAACATAACTAAGTTGAACTTTAAGTTTGTATGGCAACTAAGTATTTAACATGCAATCCACGTCATGTTGGTGTGGCGCAGTGTCTGCACTGTTGGGAAGGAGTTTATTTTTGGGACGTATTACAAAGGACAATCAAAAAAGAGTTCCCTTTAGATCCTCATGGGATCAGGTATTTGGATATAGAGAATGAGGATGGATTACCTTTCGATTTTATTATGATGACTGCCTTGCACAGTATATGGCGCTCTAGAATGGCTGGATTTCATTGTGACCCAGACAGAAGACCAGCAAGAGAGTATTTTAAAGAAAGCATCTCAAGATTACTCGAGGTAGTAAGAACAGATGAATGTGTACCTTTATGGGTAGAAAGGGTAGAAGCCCTAATGACCATGAAGGAATTCTAGAACGTGTAGTGTTATAGTAATGCTTGACGGGCTTAGTTATTTTCCAGTTTTTTGTATTGCTCGATGTGAATTGTAATATATTAAGCGTAGCAACCCGTATGTGAAGTTTACCGGAAATAAAGAAAAAAAAAGTTGGTGTGGCGCAGTGGTTAGCGTCCTCGAATGGGAATCCGCAGGTTGCACGTTCGATCCTCCGTGGCGCCTTGTTTTTTTTTTTTTTACGGGACGGGTGTTTTTTATACCGTTTTTATAGAATTCCTTTTTATTTTTTGTGGCAGCTCGTCACGGTGATTCTGACGTCATTTCGCGCTCAAGTGTTGCCGGCACTGCAGCATCCACCATGCGCCATGGTGGGCGTTTCCCACCATTCACCCACTACATTAATCCACTATAATGGTGGGTGGTGGTTTCCACCATGCCCACCATTCGTTTTTTTCCGATAGTGATGGTATACTTCTTGAACCATCAACCAATTACGGAGGAAGTCCAACGAAAGGCACTTCACCTGGTGTCTCAAGGATCCGAGACTGCCTCCGATCCTGGAGGCAGTAAAAAAAGAAAACAAAAACCTCTGTTAAGTGCAAAAAGCTTACTTACGGTGGTGGGGCAGGAATAATACATTCACTGACGAGAAAATAAAGGTAACCTTCTATCCTTTTGGGTGAGTGCATATGCTAGGTGCACTGAACTTTTTGAAATTTGGAATGTCTATACTTGAATCTAGAATGAAACACCGGTGCGGTATATACATACAGCCGCGTTCCCGTCAGCGGCCTTGTCACGCGGCGTGACACCTCGTGGCTGTTGCGGGATGTGACTTGACGTGCCCAGGACCTGCTTTGCGCAAGTGCCAGCGTTAAGATGCACGCTCCGTCGGAGTGGTTTCGGCATCTCGATTCTAAACGATGACGCGTTTCAACTCATAACAAGCGCCTGTTGTCAGTCATAACGAGTCATCTGTTAGAACTGAGATGCCTAAAGCGCCCTAAAGGCACATACATTCACACTTGAAAAGCGAGGCGAGAAAGAAAACAGCAGAGTAGCTGGAAAACCACCTTCAGATTGAATCTGAAAACGTTCAGATTCAATCTGTCCTCCGTACATACCAGCACCGCCTTCGCCAATTTGAGAATGCATTCCATTTCGCCCGTTCCCCGAGGATTCAACTTCGTGCTCGAATTCTAGTTATGCCTGCAAAGTACTGGAAAGAAACAGTTTGCACCTCTTCAAGCGTTGTTTCGGAGACTCTATACCAGAGGCAGCCACGGCAAGAGCGGACACAGCTGCGGTCTCAGCCCGTGCAAAAGCGAGGCACCACTCGCCGGTGCTTCCATTATAGTTCTCGGCGATTGCAATACAAAGCAGGGTCTCGATGAACTCGTCCTTGTCAAGACCGCGAGACTTGTCGTGCTGTACGTAATTGCGCCGATGCGGGCCACCGTCAACGCCTCTGCCGCCATGTTGAATTTGCAGCCCGTTGTTTACGTCACGTGGTTTGCGCTAGGACAGCAAAGTCCGTAACGCTATCGCATGGCGGGCAAATCGTTCTCGGACCGATTTTTTCGCGTCGGCCTCGTGGTGTAGTTTTCCGGCAGACCGCGCATGCTCCTAGGCCACTCCTGGGCACACCACGTCGGGGCCTGCAATCGCCGCAAAGATAGGCCGAGTGCTCTTGCACGTCAATTCATCAACGCAGCTTCTATAGCGTACTGGTTCACCAACATGTCCGTTTTGATTACGTAAACGTAACATGATTAAATTACTCTTAATATGCTTCAATATTATAACGATGCGGCCAGAATAGTATTGGCCCCTGTGCGTCGCAAACAACAATTTGTAAGAGATGTAATGACATGATTAATGCGACGTCATCAACCTAGCACCATTTTTGTTTTTGTAAGCACGATCATGGAGTGTCAGTGTGAGGTGTCCATACACAGCTGTAAACGGGGCTGTACACTGAGTGCTGTAGCCCTGTGTGCGCTTCACGTACCTCAATGGCCAGGTTGTCTGCCCTGGCGTCCTTGTAGACGTTCGCCAGGACCGGCGTGAACATGCGGCACGGCGGACACCACTGCGCGGCGAAGTACAGGCAGATCAGCTGCTTGTCCCGGAGCACAGTGTCGGCCGGAAAGGACTTGCCATCCTTCTTGATGAATGACTTGCCCTTGAAGATGTCTCCCATCACGTTCACGTGTCTCGGAGAAATTGTCCTGCGACGTTGGACAGCCGGCTATGCGCACCATAAACAGTCACGCTGTGATTGCGAGTTCGTCTAGCAATCGGGATACACTGTAACAAATTGAGATATTGTGAACGCCGGTTGCAGTATTCTTACAATTCCTCTACGTGTGGCTCATACCCACTATCAAAATAAGGCAGAAGTTGAATGCAGTATGGAAACTTGGAATACGGAAACATGCAGAGAAAAAAAAGTAACAAAACAAAACAAAGAAGGCAATGACGACAAAGATCTGTCGACAAACATTTATAAAATGTTTGAATGCCGCGTGCCTCGCCTCTCACTTTGTGTGCAAAGGTACCAGCGGAACTGACCAAAGCCACATTTAATATAGACAAATGGCGCTCTGAGAAATAGTGAGCGCCCTTCGCAATCATCTTTTAGGTGGCTTTCCTTCAAGAATATTTTCCAACAAGGACTCCTTTTTTTCTTAAACAGTTTTTCCCTCAATTCATATCTCAGCATTTCAATGAAAGCACGGGAGCTTCAAAAAGGCTTTTTTTTAAATTCTTGCTTGAATGTCACACGTATACAGTCGTCCTGGCGCAGAGAAAGAAATGAAACAAAACAAAAGAGTGACTTGAAAATAGCATTCTTAGGCACCAGGTTGAATGGAAACAATGATACATCATTTAGTCGGTGGTCAAGGTACGGGAAACATACCTGATCATGCATGTATTGCCATGTAATCAAACATGCGCCGAAGTCCAGTGTTGCTCGGCGCTAGGTACGCCCTTTCTCTTTATCCTTGTCACCGCGTGTTGGCCTGCCTATATTATCGAGCCTGAAATTAAGGTTGTCGTTATTTCGCCCACATTCGTCGGCCCGTTTATACCTATAAACTCAGCACGACGATACATGGCGTCAGAAGTAGGATACGAACCAACGCCCACAATCGTGGACCAGAACCACTTCACAGCGTGCTGTCCAAAGGCAGCGCAAGTCGGTGAATTGAGGTACAACGCGGATGACTTCAGCATCTTAGATGTCTGTGTGGACAGCGAACGAACCAAACTGGACTGGATGGCCAAGGCAAGTGTAGGTGGTGAGCACGGTTTTATTGCGACAGCAATTATAAAGACACTCTCGGTTGATTTTTGCCGTCACCGTCCTGTTCCGGATGTGTATATGTCCTTATATTTGTAAAAAAATGGCAAACAAAAATAAATCAATAGAAAAAATGTCAAAGCAACATACTCGGGATTCGAGCCAGCGAACACTCGCCCCGCAGCCCTAGACTACACAGCCGCTCGCCATTTTTTTCTTTAACGCATGGAATCAACACCAGTAATGGTGAACTAGCACGACATAATTTGTTACATTAGAATTACTTTAATGTACACAACTCTATTGTTAAAAACGATAGGAGCTATTTCAGAAGTCGGGCAAACACACACAAGTGCCTCGCCGCGTTGGTTTAGTCACGTCTCTCATAATCTTATGGTGGTTTTGGGACGTTAATCCCAACATATCAATCAATCAATCAATCAATCAATCAATCAATCAATCAATCAATCAATCAATCAATCAATCAATCAATCAATCAATCAAAGCGGTGGTCTAGTGGCTAAGGTACTCAACTGCTGACCCGCAGGTCGCGGGATCGAATCCCGGCTTCAAACTAGCAGACGCTGGCAGCGTTGCGAGGCTAGAGAGGGTGGAGCGCAGGAAGGGGAGGGAAGGGACGCGCATGCGCAATGGGCTTGTAAACGCCGCGGGAAGGGATGCCTAGAGTAGAGAGAGGGGGAGCAAGCGTTGGCCAGCAGACGCTTCTGACGCGTTGCGACCTGAGAGAGGAGGAGCGTAGGTACGAATGAAAAGGGAGGGGACGCGCATGCGCAGTAAGGGTGATCACTATGAGAAGCTTCGCATATAAATGTGACCCCTTCCTGTTCCACTCATGATGTAGAAGATAAAAATGTCGCCAGCTCCTGCTAGAGGGAGCCATGCATAGATGCGGAGCAGGGGGCGCTAACGCTTACACTGGTGGCGGCGTTGGCACTGGCGCTTATTGCAGCGTAGCGCAGGATAGAAATCTGAGGAGGCGCAAAGCACCCAGTGATAGACCTGTATTTCCTACTGGAACATGCCATTCGCTGCTAATGGGCAATGAGAGACAGAAGATACGGATTGGACAGAGACCCATAATCGGTTTTTAGTTAACACGCTCGCTGCGAATTTTCATTGTCCAACAACGCTGAGGAGAAATCTCCGCCGGCGCTACACTGGAGGTGAATTGGTTGTGCACTGCGAGCACAAGAAACTCGCTAGCAGACGTTGCCTGCGCCGGCGTTTCGAGCCTAGAGAGGGGGGAACGAAGGCGGGGAGAGGGCGCGCATGCGCAATGAAAGTGTAAACGCCATGGGGAGGGATGCGTAGATGAGAGAGAGAGAGTGGGAAGCGAGAGTAGATAGCATACGCTGCCTGCGTTATACCTCTATCGTTGTTGCAAGGCGAGAGAGGGAAAAACGTGGAAAAGGAGAAAAGGGGTACGCATACGGAATGGTGGTGTAAATCTTTCACGCTCAATTGGTGTAATTGGGAAAATCAGATGCTTTTTGCCAATTTGGATAACGAAGCAACTGTACTATTCCTTAGTTTACTCGCGTACAAATTACTGTCTATTATTATGGGGTAACACTACAAACACAAACAAAGAATGTGTTTATAAACTACAGAAAAGAATAGTTCGGATAATTGAAGGGGTTCGACCTATAGAACACACTGCACTCCACTTTTCAACAAACACGACATATTGAAGTTTGAAAACATCCTAAATAAAAAAAATAGCCATGATCATATGGGATAAATTGAAATCTGACCCAGTCGCTTTTCATGATGCATATTCGCAAAGACAACATACATACAGCTTTAGACGCATAACATACTGCAGCGAAAGAATAAAGACTAACTACGGCTCGCAAAAGCTAGCGCATATGATCCCTAAACTATTAAATCCACATCCCGCAATTATCACCATAGTGCAAGAGAGCCGCTAATAATTGTATTTAAAAAAAAGATACATTCATATCTAGTAGGGCTCCAAGAATAATTTTTCCTCTCTCTGCGGTATCACACAGGTTGTATTTATAATTGAAGTGTATACACTCGTGACATTTTCATTAATGAGTTCTAATAAATTGGTTTGTTATTCAATAAATTTGGGTTTCTTCACATATTCTTTGCTTTGTTTGCTATAAACTCAGTCTTGCAGACAGGTCTGTACTTGATAAAATGTTCATCTAACATTTCTTTATAAGTTTTTATAAAAAATTTGTAAATGCGGCTGCTTCTTTGTTAAAATATTTAAATTATGTGTACATTCCTGCTTTTTTTTTGCGCTTTATTGTCTGGGACGGGTTACGGCACCTTGTCAGGCATTAATTTGCCTTTTTGCCAACCTTGCCCCTGTTAGGTTTGGCCTGGAGATTCGTCTCTCATTCCCTTCGGCGCCCAGTCTGACAGACGCTGTCGAAGATTTGAGCAATTATCCAGACCAAGCAGCAAGCAAAGGCGAGTTCCCGTCCTTCAAATGCGGACCCTTTTGTCGTCCCTTCAAGCAGCAGCGTGCCTGATGACCTCGGTGATTCATCCGGAGCCAGAGCTGACAGGAGAGCGGCGCTCCTTTTTAATCCCCAATCACCAAGCCGACCGGCCGACTGCCTATGCTCGTCAGGCATTGTACGTGCTAGCCGGAGGACGAGACGTCGTGTCGCCAAGACGCCGTTAACCGTTCGAGAGAGGCCAACAAAGACAGCAACTTCCTGGAAGAGACCGCGGCGGCCACCGCAGATCGTCCCGCTAATGAAGCGAACAAATCGGCGGACCCTTTGAAGTATATGCTGCCAGGATCGTGGGAACTCTCGACTAGCGGCACTCACACGACGAGGAAGAGCCCTGCGGGCGCCACCTTGCAGTGCAGTGTTCACGTGGACCGTGCATGCTCGTCCCCCTCACCTGTGTGTGTGTGATTGGTGTTCCACTCGGAGAGGAGGAGCCCGACAGGGCATAAAACGACGCCGCAGAGTGCCGGACGGCGCTCTGAACTATGTAACGTTCAACCACCACGCTCGTGGTTGGTGAAACCACTAACTTTTTCTTTCTGTAAATATGTGTAAATAGTGCCATAAACCTGTTTTGTTTCGTATCCTCCTGCGTTCCTCCTTCCGACCTTAACAACTGGTGGCAGCGGTGGGATGCCATCACCTGCAACTTCTTTCCTTCCCATCTCTTACACCCCTTACTTGTGTCTACTGTACTTTGTGTACTGTACTTTGTATAATCAATTTTAAAAAATGCCGCGGGGAGGGATGCCTAAAGGAGAGAGAGGGGAGTGAGCGTAGCCCAGCCGACGCTGTGAGGCGAGAAAGGGATAGTGTAAAAGAGAGAGAGAGAGAAGGGCACACGCATGTGCAGTAAGTGGGATCACGTCGCACACCGGATTGAGCTCGACCATAAGATGCTTCCCATCTAAAAAAAGGCACAGATTTGTCGCAAAGGCGAAGTAATGAACGCAATAGCAACAAGCTGGAAGGTCACGCGCAGAACGGAAAGCAGATCGAAACGTGCCCCGCGTTTCTTACGCACAAACGGTGCACGAAACGTATTCACGGGTACAGATGCACGCGAATAAGCGTCTCAGTTGTTACTTCGCTATGTCTGAAAAGCGTGTGGTTTTCGCAAACGGGGACTGTAACAAAATAGACTTCACAATCGCCCAGCTTGACAGTCTCAAGCCTTGCGCAACCGCAAGCCGCCCCCACCTTTTGTCTCAGAGTGCGAATTGTACAGCACTTTCAAAAAAGCATGCAATAATTGCATTCGGTGCAGCGATAGACGCACAGCACATCTGTGTACTGACGGGTGAGTCAGACCAGTTGCGACAGGAAAATAAGCGACGGAAAAAAAAAATTTCAGACGTCACTCGACACGAGTCAGCATCGATGTTAGCCTTACAGACACGCACCTCTGCGTACACCTACCTTCACTCGAGCATGCGCGTAATCTGCCTGCGACACGTATGCATGAGCCGGCTGCGTCGACAATTCAGCTTTCCGTTATTCCTGCAATAGCACGTGCAGTGGCAACGGCAGAAAGCGGGGGCCATTTCGTTCTTAAAACGCCACCTAAGATATATGCCGGCTTCTCAGTTTTACATTGCTCTACCGGATACGCGTAACAAAGCACGTTCCGGTGAAAATCTACAGCCTCCTCTTCACCGTAGTTAATATAGGAGCTCGCACAGCTGGCAGAGAAAGACCGCAAATGAGAGCTTTAGCAAGGCAATTTCGCGTAGAAGTGCTTAGTAAAAATGACTTGGCCAAACTTTTCCTTACTAAAACTGTTGCTTGGGCGAGTTGGTTCATGATTATTTAGACTGATTTATCAGCGCAAAAAAGAACTTTTAGAAAGACATACACACACACAGCGCTGATGTGTGTGTGTCTTTCTAAAAGTTGCATTTTTTTTTTTGCGCTGATAAATCAGTCTCAACTTTTCATCTCGCCAAAATAGTTTATCCACACCCCCACGCAAACTTAAACACAGCACAAGCCGTAATATTAAGACATATACAAACATTATTGTACTCATCACCGGTTCAAATCAAGTACTAACTACTACGGGACTTAAAAAATAGACATTACTATCAAAGCTTAAATATTGTGTGTGTGTGTGTGTGTGTGCGTATGTATGTATGTATGTATGTATGTATGTATGTATGTATGTATGTATGTATGTATGTATGTATGTATGTATGTATGTATGTATGTATGTATGTATGTATGTATGTATGTATGTATGTATGTATGTATGTATGTATGTATGTATGTATGTATGTATGTATGTATGTATGTATGTATGTATGTATGTATGTATGTATGTATGTATGTATGTATGTATGTATGTGTACACGTCAGATTACATTCTTTGGAACTGTGGTTCTTCCCTCATTACGCGGGAGCACTTCGAAAGGCCCATCAAATCACCAGCTTAGAAGAGTGGCAGATTGGGCTAGTTGGTACGACATGACGATAGTTATAGCGCGAGAACAGAACGACGACGCAGAGACAAGAAGCGCTCGTGTCCTTCGTGTCCTTGTCTCTGCGTCGTCGTTCTGTTCTCGTGCTATAACTATCGTCATACCAGCTTAGAGGGACACTATAAAGAGCAAAAAGCTTTTTCGCGTATAGTAAAGTACAATTTCACAGTCGCGAAAAAACCCCTCCACGTCGCGACACGACGCTTGGTGAGCGAGAAAACTCTCGAAAAGAAACTGCGTGTGGAAACGCCACCTTAAGATTCCCGCAGGAAACACTGTGACATCATCAGTTTTTGAAGGCCTCGGTCCTACGTAGCTTAGAATCGATAAAATTGAAGTACATTGTAATCAGTGGACGCCATAAACTTAGCATACGAAGTCTCACAAAATCTCATCATCGGCGAGTCAATGTCGCGAAAATACGAAAAATACATTGTGGAATTTTTTACGTCGCGCGCGCAGATCACGGTACGAAATTTAAAAAAGCAAACTTCATCTTTGATTTCCTCCGCTAATAATAAACTTGTGACGGTGTCCGTTTAAGACAATCGAGTTTTGGCTGTCGAGTACGCTCACGATCGGACCAGAAGGCTCGGCCTCCCTGTATTATCGTAGGAATAGCCAGGTTGCGCATTGGCGTCATGTACGGAATAGAAATAAAGTTTTGAAGAAGCCATTTCACGCTCTGTTCTACCAATGAACGAAACTGTGTTCCACGCCATGAGAGCCTGCCAGAAACCGCAGACTATATACGTGAGCGTTACATAAACTTGTCCACCTTTTTCGTTAAAAGTACACGCACGAAAAAACAGTGAAGTTGCGTGTACTATCAGGCGAGAAATGCAGACTAATTCAATCAGTCATCTCTGAAAAGTATGTCACGCGCTGAATCTCCTGCGATAAAACAGTGCATGTTACAAAAACGTTTTTTTAAATGGGTGTGCAATGTTATGCACGATTTAGAGCCTATACAACGCTTGATTTAGGACTGCTGTGCACTGCCACTCAAGCCAAACCCACGACTTTCGTCAGCCTAAATTTATGCATACTTGAATCATTACTAGGTATTTATTATGTCATTTCGAAGAAGTAAATAACAATAATATTAATAATAAATATTGAATATAATACATATATATTATTATTTCAGGATTTTTTAACTCACAGGCTCATGCCTAGATATGTTGTGCCAACAGAAAAATAGCTTTTCAGAGAAACTGCTGCGTTGGCTTAAATTAAGTTTTTGGTATTTAGAAGGAAGCAAGGTAACTGCACGAAGCAATTTTTTATATTAGGTTGTGAAAAAAGTTATTGAACAATAATCTATGCGTCATCTAAATATATTATGTAATTTTTTATATTTTTGTGAGTCGGCAAAAATATATATCTGAAACAATTACGCCTAACCCTAATCTTGATTTGGATATAATGCAGCCCACTGGGGTGTAGGTGTGGTATAAAAATGTCCACGTGTGTTCTTCATAGGCAAACTAGTAGAATGATAAAATAATGAGCTGCTCTTTTCCAGTGGTACACAGATTTGAAGTTGTACTTGCCACGTGGTAGTTAGGGAGTTCGACTACTGGCCCAGAAGTCACGGGATCGAAACCCCGGCCGCGGCGGCCACATTTTCGATGAAGGCGGGAACTCTTGAGGACCGTGTACTTAGATTCAGAACCGCAAGTGGTCGAAATTTCTCGAGCCCTCCGCTATACGGAGTCTCGTGTAATAGTGTGTATCATGGTTTTCGGACGTTAAACCTCAGATATTTTCCCCAGAATTGTCAGGGCTAACTCACGCTGAACATGTGCGCATTTCGATGGTTCGTGAATACTGGAGCTTACCCAGAACGCGAACCAAAGGGAACTCGGATGTTGAAATACCAGTTGCTGCTACTATAATAATTCCGAGCAACATACGTAACACTTCCACGCACTTATCTGTGTGATGATAAAGGTATCTGTGAATCTCTCTCCTTGCCCCGTTTTTTTTTTTTTTTGATCGAGTCTATCTCAATGTGTTGTGCCACTGCCTTTCTTTTCAACAGAATAGAAAGTTGGGCGAGTTGGTGTATATTCATATTCAAAGAAAAGCGGCGCACAAAAAAGACGGAGACAAAGAAGAGAACCACACACAGCGCTGTCTCCGTCTTTTTTGTGCGCCGCTTTTCTTTGAATATGCCTTTCTTTTCTTTTCATTGTGTTCATTTTTCAGTTCAGCTAGATTATTTATGTTGCTCCAGTGGAGAGAACTGCCATGTGTCCGTTTTATCTTTCTGTATACTGTGTATCACACGTGTGCCAAGCCCGGGGCGACAGACCCTGTCGACCCTGATCTATAGCTTTTTTTTTGTCTGTACCCACAAAGCTCCACTGAATGCTAATGAAGCTGAAATAAATCTCAATTGATTTATTGTGATACTAATAATATTTTCAACCTTGATAAAGTTGGTCAAACTAGTCGAACAAAACGAATTTTCCGTCCTTACGTGCTCAGATAGGCGCTCCCCGTAAGCGTATCTCTTAATGGGAGAGAGTGTTTGATAGAGACAGTGAGGAGGCAGCCGGATCATGTGACGATGTATGGGAAAGTGACAGCGCGCAGCTGCGCCCCCGTTCGACTATCGGCGATAAGCCTGCAGGTATATGAGAGCGCGCAGTCCTCTTCCGCCAGGTATTCGTTTGGTTGCACGTACGCGGACGCCGGAGACTTCAGGATGCGTCACTACGCCGTCACACTCCTGCCACTTCTACTAATGAGCACGTGCGGAGCGCAGCAGCTCCTGAAACTGGAAGAATGCAAAGGTATGTAAACTACTTTTCGCTCGCTTTCATCCAGTTTGTCATTTATTTTACCCTCAATAGTACAAAGCAGGCCCGCAGCCACCCCCCCCCCCCCCAAATAAAAATCGAATGAAGGAGGTAGTTTTGATAATATGTGGGGTTTAACATCCCAAAACCACCTCATGATTATGCGAGACGCAGGAGTGGAGGGCTCTGGAAATTTCGACCAGCGGGGGTTCTTTAACGTGCGCCCAAATCTTTGCACACGGGCCTACAGCATTTCTGCCTCTATCGAAAATGCAGCCGCCGCAGCCGGGATTTGAACCCGCGACCTGCGGGTCAGCAGCCGAGTACCTTAGCCACTGGACTACCGCGACGGGGCGCTCTGGTAAAACTCATATGGGTTTTTAAAGGACCTCGACGTTGATATCACAACAACGGTCGATTCTGACGCCATAGTTGTCCGTCGCCCCCGTAGTCGGCGTCCGTAACCAATCGTGCGAAATAAGAAAAAAAAAAAAATGCCCAGAACGGAACGAAAGTCGATCTCAGGACCTCTGCGCGTAGCAGCCCAGTACTCTACCACTGAGCTATGCCGTTGTATATTCCAGCATATAGACGAGGCGAATGACGACGAGTGGGGCGAAGCGAACGCACAAAAGCACGAACGGACTGACTGACGCTTCACCCCACACATCATCATTCACTTCGTGAATATGCTGTGACACCGTTTTTATTGACATGCAATGCTATGCAACTGGCCACTACTACAACGACGACACGGGACGTACAACCCACAGTGTAAGGTGCTTCGCCCTTAAAAAAAAAAAAAAAAAAAAAAAAAACGTGCACACGATGCCCTACACGTGTGCAGTCTTTCTAGTAGAATGACGAATAAGCGAATAATGAATACACAAAAATTATGGTTTATGGCGTAGTGGCTATGCTATACATCGCACTGCCTGCGCGACACCTAGCGACGACACTTGATGAGAGCATCCTACCTTCTCTCCATCCTCCTCACTCTCCTTTCCCAACCCCCTGATGCAAGTGGTTATGCCATACATGGCTGAGGTATGCATGATTCTGCCAATATGACGCCATACATGGCTATGCAATGCTCATCTCGCATCTTCCTTTCCCTTCCCACCCTCCTCCCCCACACCCTTACTCTACCCTGGCTATGCTATTCATGGCTTTGCCTGCGTGACGCCATACAAGGCTATGCTATATGATTTGCCCTTTGTTATTCTCTTTTCTCTGCTCTTGACCCTCATTTCTCTTTCAAGCAACCTTACTTTACCATACTATGCATGACTACGCTGTACATTACTTCATAGATCGCTACACCACACTCCCCTTCTCCTTCACCTCCCTCTGGTGTCATGCCTCCTCACGCGCCCTTTCATTTCCTCTCCTTTGCTACAGAATATTTTACGTATGGGCTTCAGTGTCACCATGTTGGGCTGTCAGCCTTTGGGTCTTGTATCTTTAACAACTAAGCGGACATTGTTACGATAGACGCATACGCATGAATACGGCTGGATTGCGGCATACTATGTTTCATGCCCAGAATAATTTACGGCACGATATTCAAAAACAAGAAGACATCGACCTAACAGGTGAAGATGACGGCGCCCAGGTGTCTCACGAAAAAAAAAAACCTATACCTGGCTATGCTGTTAGCCACTAGACCGCGGTCGTATAGTGAATAATGTGCTTGGCTGCTGACACGCAGGTCGCAGGATCGAATCCCGGCTGCGGCGGCTGCATTTTTAATGGAGGCGGAAATTATGTAGGCCCGTGTGCTCAGACTTGGGCGCACGTTAAAGAACACCAGGTGGTCGAAATTTCCGGCGCCCTCTACAACGGCGTCTCATAATCATATGGTGGTTTTGGGGTGTTAAACCCCACACGCATCAATCAATACCTATGCTACACGTGGCTTTGCCAGCATGACACCAAGCAGTGACACAAGATGGCAGCAGCTGCTGACCTCATTCCTCCTTTTTTTTCCCTTCTCTCTTACATCGCCCCTCCTCAGCTTCACTCCTTTTACCACCCTCTTAAATAGTAATATAATATGGGGTTCAACGAAATGATATTGCCGCATTCCGTAGTGGAAGTCTCTGGAAATTTCGACCATATATGGTGTTCTTCAACTTACATCGATATGTACACGAGCCTCAGGCTCAGCTCCATCGAGATGCCGCGGCAGGGTTCGAGCCCGCGACCTTCGGGTCAGCAGTCGGGCTTCGTAACCGCTACAACACCGCGGCGTACTCCCATGCTCAAAATATATCTATGATATGCCACACGCGGCTTTACCTGCGTAACCCCAAGCGACGACGACGACAGCATTCGATGCCACCGTGCTACAGTATCCTATGGCCCGGGAATCTAAAGTATTCCCCACGACATGAAGAGTGCTCGTACAACCGTCGTCTTGGCCTCTGTTCGTTTCTGCGATACGTACCAACCGTCAAAACTTGACTTCTTTCTAGAACATTTTGCTTAATTCTTTTGTTTTTCTAGCTTCCGCAAAAGAAAGTATTCCTGGCTTCAAGAACATCACCCTTTCTCCTTGTGACAAGGATCCGTGCGTGATCAACAAAGGCGAGAAATACAACGTCACCTTCTACGCGGAAGCGAGTGAGTATCGCAGAGCACAAGGAAGGCAGCTGTAAATGTGTACATCATGTAGGTGCAATATGTTACGTTAGTAGAATCGCAAATCACAATTGCTTACGGCTATTCTTTTCTAGCTAAATTATTGATCCCTTTTATATAACACCGTGGCTTTTGCGGTTTGTATGTACGTGTGGAATTGAGAGTCCCGTAGTGGCACCTGTTGAGCGAGTAGAAAGCGATAATAAAGACAGTGTCATTTTCTTGGTCGTTTCCTGCTATAGATTACTCGCGCTACAGAAAACTTCTTTATAGACATGAAATTTTTCAGGGGCTCAACAATGCCAAAACCTACTCAGTATAACATAGCGCAGAAGCATAAAAATAAGTGCACGAAAAGTTTTATAAGGTTCAAGACTGAGCGTGTCCGTAAAGGATGACTGTAGATTATATAGAGCAACTAATGACGGTACAAAAGAAGGATGCACACACAACAAAGCAGTAGCTTTGAACAATTAATTTTATTCTTTCTTTGTGAAATAAATACAGAAACATGAGCGAGGAAAAAGCCAGCGTGTTGCATGTGTACCTTTCTTGTGTGCCGTCGTTAATTTTACCATAGAATCAACAGTCCAAAAGTTTTAGTAACATTGGTTGCTGCTTGCAAAGTGTCAAGCTCTATGGTGCAGTAAACCATTTTGCAAGGATAATTTTTAAATGAATACAAAAAATCATAAAGCACAAGTTTTTTTTTAGTAGAAAGTTCGAAATAACCGAAAATAATTGTTCCACATTTTTAGTAAGTTCAAGCTACTGTTTAGTGCTAGCCTGATTACTTTTTTTCATTGCTGTCAACAGTATACTTCAGTTAATTTTTTTTTAAATTAACTTTCTCAGAGCTTGAGCGTTAAAGGGGCCCGGCAATATCTTTCTATGTAACTATCGAGTGGTGTCATTGCAGGAGTTTGTTAACGCGATAGCGGTGAAGAGCTCGTTTCGCAGAAATTACAGCGTCGGCATCGTTTGTTTTAAACGGTAGTCATCTTATGCGTGACGTAAAAAAATCGAGAACGCTGCAAATTGAGAATCCTGGGCCAGAGTGACCGAATTAGGGTTGTTGGGGTCAGAGTTGGAATCGAACCCGGGTCGTTTGCGTTGTAAGTGGATGTTCTACAACGCGGCCTCGCCTCTGCTTGTGAAAACAGTGAAACGAACTTCCTCTGCTCGGAAACGCAGTGAAAGTAGCTTTCATGCTTCACAAACACACGTGCCCTGTATATATGCTCCGCAATGCAACATAAATTATTGCAGTCATAATGCGTGGTCAAGCGTTCATTGCCAATGGGCGTCAGAATATAACGTCTCCGTGGTTGAAAGGCGGCACTCCACTGCAAAAGGCACACACGCTAAGGCGCCTATTCCCTTAAGGCCTCGTAGTGGGTGCATAGCATATTCGAAAAGGTTTCATGCACCAAGTGTTTGAAGTACGCACTAAAAACAGTATGTCGCTATCGCGTTCAGCGTTTAAAGGCGAAGCTTTAGGGTCCCCTAATTTTTTTTCCCCTCTCGAATCGACCGCCGCAAGAATTTCGAGTAAAAGCAGAGTTAGACTGTTACAAAGATTCGGGAGAGGGCGCGACACTGCGTCAAAACGCCACGTGCTCACGCGCCGCAGCACGTACAAACGAGCTTTTGCATACCATCTTAAATGCATACATCAACCCTTCCGGTGCGTAACTATCGCTATGATTGAAAGAAGGCAGGGAATTTTCGGAGCGCTGGTTTATCTCTGACACAGCCCCAATGAAAAGCAGCAAATAGAGAAGCCAAGGAAGGTATATGCGGTCACAAGTTTGGTTCCTGCCAACGACAAGTTGTCTTTTCGTCCCCTATATTTGCTTCACAAGTAGATACCACAATTACTACGAAACACTCAAAACAATACAGTTAACGTTCCTTATACCTTCATTGGCCTCTTGATCTGCTTCTTGATATTTTGTTATCTCGTCACGTATTTGCTGTCATGACTTGCACTGAACAGTCATATAATCACGCCATGGCAATGCAGCTGACGATGCAGACTACCTGATGGTGTCGGATTCGGAGCAGCAGCAAACCGATACGATCAACATCCAGTCCGCGCGCTCGATAAGCTGCTACTACATCGATGTTCCCTGTAACGTGACCAAGGGAGAGGTGTTCCGAGGTTCGGTGACTCTCCGAATACTTGGCGCATTCGCTCCGGTAAGTCTCCGGTCGCAGTGACGAGATCTGTTTGAGAATGGGAGAAGCTATAGGATCAGTCGCCTTCTTTATGGAGGACTATTGCGGCTGTGGATCTCCAGTATGCTTTTATATACCTCAGGAGGAAGGCATATATCAGCTTCTAGTTACCGATAATTACAGAGCAGAAACCTGGAGGCTTATACCAAGCGTGTTCAGCTTAAATTGAGGACGACGCCGTGAGAAATAGAAAGGAAAATCGTAGATGTAACCTTAAAAGAAGGGAAGAGAGAATAGACGGGTGTTAAGGGTATCCCAGTTGAAATTAAGAAGACATGCGCGGGGCACGTAGCGCGTACGTGGGATAACCTCTGGTCATTAAGGATAACTGATGGGATTCCAAGAGAAGGTCAACGCGGGAAGGGGAGACGACTTTAGGTGGGCCGATGATAATAAAAAGTTCGCAAGTATAACGTGGCAGCATAACGTATACAAGGTTGGGTTTATTGGTGGAACATGGGAGAGGCCTTTGCCTTGCAGTGGGTGTAGTCAGGCTGATGATGATGATGTGCCTTTAAACCTGCAATTTTAGTCAGCGCCTTAGTAGCCATGACAGCAAGAGCGGACTTATTTCTGCTGCTGTCATAACGTATCACGTGATCTCATTACGCGATGGCACCTGCCCAATAATTCAAGGCATTATTCCATCCATCTATTAAATTGGTAACGAATATTTCTTCAAATTTACATTACAATGGCTACTAATAACATTCCTCGTACTTCAATCAATCAATCAATCAATCAATCAATCAATCAGACTTTGTTATTACGAAGAAAGGTTTGCTACAAAATATAAATATACAGACGAGGGTCCCAAAGTAATAAATTGCAACGCGACCTTCCTTGCATGATTATCTGTTAGTTCTTATTAGACTGAGCCGCATCATTACGCCTTTTCTTCATCAGGGCAACCTCACCTACAAGCTTGGAGTAGGCCACGGCAAGAGAACTTTCGCATGCGGAGTCTCCAATCTGATCGTGGAGTGACCATGCTGAAGACAAGTTTCTCTTCAAATAAATAAAAAAAAAACGTGAAATGACTTGGCCACAGTTACAGGAGGAGGCTGCTGCCCGATTCTTTTTGTCTCAGGACGATGCTTACGCCACTGCTTTCCTCCATCATGACGCGACGGCGGAATCGACCAGAGACCATCGCTTGATACTAACGCTTGATCGCCTTTAACATCGCTTTTAAATCCAGCCAGCTATCGAAAATTTTGATACTGCAAATTTAATAAAGCATGTGTGCACTCGCTTATGAACGCTCACTTGATGTGGCAATGTCTGAAGAAATAAACATAGCAAAATTTTATTTACGTAATTATTTATTTGATTATTCGTACTGCAAGCCAACATGTTAGACCACGCAGGAGGGCAATGCAGTGGAAAACTAATGAAAGGATACAGACAACTCAAGATAAAAAAATATTAACTCTACACGAAAATCGTGCAACCCGTAGCCATCTTGCAGAAAACGAAATGCTTGTTTGACACGATAAAAGAAAGATTACCTTTGAGAAAAACTCCGCGCCAGAACTTTAGGGAACTAAAACGTAACACTCCAAGTGCTAGAAAAAAAAAGCACGGATAAAATTACATTTTGATAAGACTGGACTGGGAAAAACTTCATTTAGCTTTCACAAGAAAGAAAAAAAATATCTTAAAACAGTAACAGGGCACTTATCACAAGAACAATTCCCATTATAATGAAAAAAAAAAACGATTTGAAACACTGCTTAATGTTCGTGCCAATTTTCAGGGGAAAAAATGGTTTTCCAACTTAGCGAAGTTCCCAGATAGCGTGACATGAAGAATTGATTGTATATGGCGCTGATTGATATGTGGGGTTTAACGTCCCAAAACCACCATATGATTATGAGAGACGCCGTAGTGGAGGGCTACGATAATTTCGACCACCTGGGGTTCTTTAATGTGCACCCAAATCTGAGCACACGGGCCTACAACATTTATGCTTCTATCGGAAATGCAGCCGCCGCAGCCGGAATTCGATCCCGCGACCTACGGGTCAGCAGCCGAGTACCTTAGCCGCTAGACCACCGCGGCGAGGCTTGTATATGGCGCTACACGCATTTTTTTAATTTGTACAATGAAGTTGTCGGAAAACTGTTTGTTTGAATTACGGGAGGAAGTTTACAGGATTCAATTAGTCTGAAATACGGAGCGTTGGGAATTCCTTCGAGCGGGAATTTTCAACGCACGGCATGTTTGACTTCACAAAGGTAAAACTTGGACACTTCTCTGCTTTTCTAGTGACGAATATTCTCTGATGTGATACAGTCAGTGGTTTGGAAAACGGACGTCTATTGCTTGCCTACATCTACACTTTATGAAGAGCTAACAAACACTGACAGACACCAGCCGCTCCTATACGGTGCCTGCGCATATAAATGTCACGAACACAGCGCTGCGGCATACAACGGTAAAACTGACGTTGCACAGCTGCTTGCGCCCGGAACGAAGACAAAAAAAAATGATAAAACTGAAAAAAAAGCCAGGCTTGCATGGAACACGACGCACAGTCATTACAACAGCTGGAAGAGCGGCCTTTATAAGCTCTTAATCTAATTCCACGAAAGTTCCAGCGGGAAAGCAGAACATGTTTACACGTTTTGAAAAAAAGAAAAGGTTCCGCTAAAGTTTAACATAAGTCACAGATAAACTTAAAATATGTGGAACAGCTTTTAATTTTTGTTCGCTGGGTTGTATACACAGCAGCGTGCCGCTTATTTAGTACTAGCTGAATCCTGGTTTTAGCTATAGTTGGCACTGGTTCATAACAGGGAAACCTTTGGCGCGAACTGAACGAGGTCCAAAAGAACAGGCCGGGTGCCAACTTCCAAGTCATTTTATTCAACTGTGGAAAGAATTTATAGTACTGACGAACCACATGCTGATGTGCACGCGCATCACAGTTTCTGGACAACCGAGGAACCGGGATGTGTTGCTGAGACACCTAATCTATTTATCATGAAGTGATATTGAAGCCGTGTCGACAGAGGCGTCGCCCTTTTGTTTTATGTAATACGCCTATATTACTTTTATCTCCGTCTTTTCTTATGCGCCAATAAACATTGCTTCAGTAAACTTTGGGTAGCATCCACACACCTTGCAACACGTTCCAATTGGGCTTCCGAAAGACATTTTTAAAGCCATCGTCCGCGTTCAATTTGAGCCACAAAATTTACTGATCTAATTAGTATACTTGCGTCATAGCTCCAGTAACTATTTTGTTGTACGCACATCACTGTTCTGAATACTATTTTGAACAATTTTCCGCATATAGTTTCTGTTAATTCATGCACCCATATATGGTATAATCAAGGCATGCATCCTTAACTGCAGGCCTTTTCATGACTTTGCAAATGCTTTCATTTGTGCTATTCAGCATATTCTGAAAGCATTCGAAAATCACATAAAATTTAGGTTGCCAATTTTTAGCACCATGAATATACGAATGGCTGACTTTCTGGCTAAGTCACGGCGTCAATTTATGAAGACCATGGTTAGCGTCACCCATATGCTAGGCATGACTAAACCGATATCAGAGAAGTCAGCATTACATTTTCCTAAATATTTACTGCATACCTGAACTGACAACTCGGAGGTTATTTTTCAGTATCAAATAATAACATTGAAAACAGTTCTTCTATGACAATATTGCACAGGCATGTTTTTGTGGAACGAACATGTGTTTGTGCTGCACGGACTTATACGTGTGCACTTTTATATTATACTGAGAAATAACCCTTGCGACGTCGGTTCAGCTATACAACAAACATAGTTTGAAAATTTAATACTGACTTGAGTGATTTGAGGGTCCCGTTGGTTTTGTTATGCTAGAAAGATAGGTGACACTAACCATGGTCTGCATAATTTCATGCCACGGGATGGCTAGGATGTAAGTCATCAATACAGTCGTTACGCTTAAAATGGCAACGTAAACTTTAAGGTGAATCTGAAAACAGCTGTGAATAGCACCAATAAAAATTTTTACGCAGTCACAAAAAGTACCACAGTAAAGCTGCTTATAGCTTGGTTTAAGCAAACCGATGCTGGTATTTTTCAGATGAAACACGATACACACACGCGCGCACCACGGTAATTTTGTTTTGTGTAGATTATCCGTTTCTTTTTTATATATAGCTTGACCGAGGATGCTTGAAATAGTGCGTGCCGGGTATATTTTAACATTTAACTCGGCGGCAACTGTTCTAGCTTTTTGTGTGTGTATTCCTCACCACACTTTGTCCGTAGTCGGGCACAAAAAGTAACCTTGATCTGTTGTAACAGATGTTCCACGGCAAGGAAAATCAAATACCGGCCGCCACAGTCGAAGTCGTACACAATGGTTGGAAATGGTGCTTCCATGCACCTTGGCTTACTCACCGATTGTATAGCACGGGCAGGAATGGAGGCAGCGGCTGTGTCCACACCAATGGTCAGCGGAGACGTCGACAACACCGCGAACTCACTGGCCAGCGTAACCGAGTTCGTAGCGGATGGTTAGGCCAGAGAAGGCTCGTCTCATTCGAACACGGGTCTGCGTCGAGAGCACGGACGAGTAGCATGCAACGCGTAGTGACGTTTCTATGGGCACTCCCGCTGTTGGTCGCTGCTTGCGCAGCGCAGAGCCTGGTTTCTATGGAGGCATGTTCTCGTAAGTACGTTGCTTATTCTTTGCGCGTGGGTGCGGCAATTCTCGAGTCACAATGAACGATATTAACAGAAGACTGACTTTTCTCGTTTTAGCATATTGCTCTTTCGCGGTGCCAAAAACAGCACGCTCACAGCGAGATGACGCTTGGTAGGATAGAAAATGGCCAAAAACAAAAAGCGCGGGTAGCGACACCACTATAAAGTTCTCGTACAAGTCTCAATGACATCATGAATTTCGTCCAGACTGTAATCTGAGTTCCCTGACCACGTTTAGCAGCTATTACGGAGTCACAAACGCAGAAATTGATGGGGAGACCGAAAAAGCCGCGTAGACAAGAACATAAGGACGCCAAACTGATTGTTATATATCCTACATGCTTAGGGTCACCCACAATCTAAAAAGGGTTGGAAGCAAGTACAATGTCCCGATCGTCTTCTCGGCGTCTCATAGATTAGCGAAAACTCGCCCCAAAGTGTGCTGCACCAACCAGTTGATTCCTGGCTGTAGAACGTAACACACCAAGGCTGTGTGCCATGGCCGTTAGTCAACGAGATCCCTCTTTAACAGTGGCAGAACTTACGCTAGTCAAACTGGGCACTGCATCAACCAGCGCGCTAAGGAACATGAACGAGCGTTAGGCGAATAGTTGGCGTCGTTCTAGTATTACCCGCCTCTCGCAGCGCTTGCAGAAAACGTGAACCACGGTTTGAGAAAAAAAAATATCCTAAGAAGAAGAAATGGCAGATTATCTCGCGTACTATCAGAAGTATTTATATCACAAAGAAAGGTGATGCGTGCGTAAGCACCAGATCGGTATCCTTGCGAGCCGGTGAATATGAAATACTAAAGAGAAAAATTGTTTGCACAAATCTTACGTTATCCCGTTCGCCTGTGATGGCGCATGCGTTCATTCCATTTTATTGCTATAGAATGCAATGCACGTGGTTTAAATAAAAACTGAAGTAGCAAATTGGGCTAGTTGGAACATACTTATCACGATCAGCGCACAAAAAGGACAAAAATAAAACTCATGAAAGTACACGACACAAGCAACGACCAGCAACTGAAAGATGTGTTGCGCACTTTTTTGTGTTTTTTTGTACTTTTTGTGCGCTAATCTTGATGATCAATGAAAACAGTTGGAGTAAGCGCTCGTCCTGTATTGTACGTCTGTCTTGTCCTCGTCAAATGTGGTGTTACAATATTCTAAGTAAGAGAGGACATGGCCATTGGGCGATTCGAAGATAGCCATAACACGCTCGGAGACGCTGTAGCAGATTCTAGCCCTTTGACAGCCTATTCAAACTTGAATACTTGAACAGAACATTTGAATATTATCTGTCTCCCACTTGCAGCGGCGTAAGCAAAAAAAAAAATTAAAATCTGCATCTTCTGGCAAAGCAGAGAGGCGTGGGGGGGGGGGGCATGTTTGACGCAAAGTTGGGGTAGGGCGAGTGTGGGACGAGTCTTATTTTTTTTATTTGTATCCCATGGAAGAAAAACAAACTTCGGGAGAGGGGGTGGGGTGGAAAAGGTCACAGGTATGGTTTGCCCCCTCATGGCAACGCTACTGCCAAATAGCTTCATTTTTTATTTTTACGACATCATCAACATTTTTGTAGCGTAAGTCTTCAACGAAATCCACCGTCATGACCAGGAAGCAGGATCACACATACTTCACATACTTGAGTACTCCCCCTTCCTGAACCTTCCTCGACCTTGCGCGTTTTCGCTGAACTAACATGTCATCCTTCACTCCTTGGTGCCTTCCGAAATTCCTGCTAGGAGGAAATGGCGCTCCTGGATTCCAGAACTTCACCATCTCTCCTTGTGACAGTGAGCCCTGTGTGATCACGAGAGGGGAAACCTACAACGTCACCTTCTTCGCACAAGCTAGTGAGTGTAGCGCACTGCAAACATTTTGTAATAGGAATAGAGATGTCTATGCACCATTTTATAAACACTACGCAAGAAAGAATGGACTGAGGCTATTGTAAGCTGATCAGATTAAAAGCCACCTGGGTATAATTTGCTTGTTTGCTTGTTTATTTGTAGGTTTGTTTGAAGTAAGCGGGCTAGCTCAACATTATGAGGTTGGGCGTGTTGGTAATACATAACTGTTCCCATAGCGCAAAAATATAAGACACAGGACAAGGGGATGAAGGCGTGTGTAACTTGTTGTGTGCCGCGGATCATAGCAGTCTGGCAAACAGGTATTGCAGAACATAAATATAAAATAATTTTTTTCTTGTCATTGTACCACTGCCCCACCGCGGTGGTGTAATTATTATCGCGCTCGACTGCTCATCCGAAGGTCGCTGGATCAAATCCTGGCTGCGGCGGCCGCATTTTCGATGGAGACGAAAATGCCTCATGCTCATGTTCTTAAATTTAGGTGCATGTTAAAAAAGCCTGGGTGATCGAAATTTACGGAGCCCTCTACTACGACGTCTCTCATGATCGTATCGTACTTTTGTGACCTTAAATCTCAACAATTATTAATTATTGTCGTTGCATCGCTTTCGGAATGAACATTCCGACGGTGCTTCAGATGACAGTGCCAGGCGTTTCTTTGCAATGTTCAGCAAAAAGCTGTACTGCGAACTCTTGGCTCCTGACAGTACGTTACGCAGGTCGGCTCAATCATGTGACAAATACAATCGAGTTATTTTCTAAGTGCACAAGGGTGAGTAACAGTATACAGGGAATAGTCGAACGCTGAACTCACATTCGCAGCCGCCGACGCGAGTGTCGTCATGCTAAGCACCAGCGTCCACCAGCAGTCCAACGCCACGCTGGTCCAGATTGGACAGACGGTCAGCTGCCATTTCCGGGACTTCCCCTGCAACGTGACCAAGGGAGAGCTCTTCCGCGGAAGTTACAACTTCCGCCTCGGCTTCAGCACTTTCGCTCCTGTAAGTGTAAGCTTCAAAGCTCAATCGGGGCAGTTTCGCGAACGAATGTCATACATAAAATTATTGGTCAACAGCAGAAGTCCAACACTGAAAGGAAAAAAAAAACGATATTTGGTTATGTTTCGTGTCCTAATTACTTTTATGTAACAATACACTATCACGCAGTTCTGGCGTCGACAATAACAGCAATAGGTGTGGAAAAGACTCAACTTCTCATTTGGACGTTTCTAGTGCCCCAAAAACGAAAAGTCATACTACAAGTGATACGCCGCTGACAGCGGCGAACAGAGCGTCGGTCGTCGATGATCTGCGAAGCGACAAACTGCGTTCGCTATAATACATGTACCATCGAGGATTCCGATGTTATCACGTGTGGTCGCGTAGGCTCTCAACTAAACTGGATTCGCGTCCTGCGCACATTGTCACTAGAATTATGTCAGACAATCGTGAAGATTTTGAAGCATTGCGGCACGGTCTGCGCCGAGCATTGCTCCTGTTCGTGAGTGAAATCTCAACGCATTAAAATAAAACACGTGTGGCAAATATTTAGGAAACCCAATACAGTCAAACACCGCTGAAACAAAAGTATGAAACAATCAGCACTCCAAAGCATACCACACGGCGTGGCCGGGTCACCACTTTTCTATGTATATTGTATATCGTTAACGACCACAGAACGAAGACGACTGCAGCGAATTTGCCGTTTTGACGAAGCAATTGATATGCTCGCAGTGTTTGAATTGATAAAATTCATAAACGGAGATTGCGTGCCCGAGACGACGCCTCGACAAGTGGACTTGTCGGCTAGGGCACGAGAGTCCAGTTTACGGATTTTCTATCGCAAGCTTCCTTCTTATACCCTCCTTTTCATATTTAGGACAGTCACTGAATAGTTGTTTTAGCCCCACTTCGGTGGTCTAGTGGCTAAGGTACTCGGCTGCTGACCCGCAGATCGCGGGATCAAATCCCGGCTGCAGCGGCTGCATTTCCGATGGAGGCGGAAATGATGTAGGCCCGTGTGCTCAGATTAGGGTGCACGTTAAAGAACCACAGGTGGTCGAAATTTCCGGAGCCCTCCACTACGGCATTCCTCGTGATTACGTATTAGTTTTGGGACGTTAAACCCCACATATCAATCGAATAGTTGGTTTACAACGAACACGCTTAAAAGCATAGGCAACGCACCACAACCAATCGAAACGGAACAACCATGGCACGCAAAGTCATCACATTTTAACATTCAAATAACTACGGCAAAAGAAGGGGGGGGGGGGAAGCAATGCAGCTGTATGTATTCTCGCACCTTGGTCTCGGGCCGCAGCACACCATGAACCTCTGCACGCCGTGAGCATTGAGTAAGTCGTATACCATGGGCAGAAGAAAACACACTGTTTCGCCAAGGGCTATTTAAATCTGCTGTTCATAACCTTTTTATCTCAGTGTGTTTATCGGCTTTATTATACAGTGCTCATTAAAGTGAGTGATGCATATAGCGAAGAGACCTGTCCAACAAAATATTGCGGTCAAGTTTAAATCTTTTTGAAAAGCCAATTTCACTCAACATTCTTTTAAATGTCCTTCTATTCTTAACCAGCTTTCTGAAGTATAATCAGCGCTCGTGTTCTCTCTTTTCTCCTCTCCTGTCGGTTCCGCTGATTTCCACTCATAATCAGCTTAAGGGAATGCGGTACATTTACCTATTTCATATTAAATGAACAGATTTATATTCAAATTTATTTGAGCTAAAATCATCGCACCTAAATTAGGTAACCAACTGGAAATCTTGCGTATATTTTTCATCACTGCAGGAGGAGGCTACCTATTGGGTCCAAGTCGGCACCTACCAGGCTTTGTTCGCGTGCGGCCAGACCAAGCTCATCGTCGAGTGAACGAAAATACCACTTGTCATTACGACTTTGCTATTGGGTTAGCAAATTATTTAACAGTTTTGCAAAATACTACCATCAATATTACTAGGGTGGACCTTGCGAATCATTATTACGCCATAGGTCATTAGGTCATTACTGCGTATTACCCACATATATACGTGAATAATGAAAAGCCCCGTCAGCCCGTCGGTTTGTTGATTCACCCGGAGACAGTAAAGCAATATATATATATATATATATATATATATATATATATATATATATATATATATATATATATATATATATATATATATATATATATATATATATATATATATATATATATATATATATATACTTAAGCAGGACAGATTATAGACATTGATTGAAAGCCATAGAGATGAATATTTATCGAAGAATACTTGAAACCAGTTGGAAGGTGGCTGACATGCAAGCGATTTTCCGCAGCTGTTCATGGTATTAAAATCAGATGAGATGCAACCGCCGGCACTTGTCTCTGTGTCTCTGGAATGGCCTTGGGCAGCACTGCTCTATATGCCTTCATCCACACCACGTCTTCTGCGCGTGAAGCTTCGAGAGCAATGTATTGATCGGCATTTCGCGCTGTTTTATTGCGATAGCAATTATATGGATACTCTCGGCCAGATTTTTGATGTCATGCATCGCATATGTATACGTATTTATGTATATATGAAAACGCAAGAAGGAAAAAATCCACAAAAACAATCTAGCGTGCGGAATCGAACGTGAACCTCTGCGTCTTGAAAGCGAGGTGTTAACCACTGAGCCATCCCGAAACACATCCTTCACCGTTCGAACGGCAAGCTACTTATATCTACTACTTACCGCTGCTCACGAGCATGTCCGGGAGAATTGTTTTCAGCATTACCAACAAGATGGCACAATGAGCGCGCGTCGCCACATCGCGCGGCGCCCGCTCTAATCTCCTACGCGTAAAGTTTGCCCGGCTTTGAGAAGGGGAGCGACGCTCCCTCGCGCGCCCTCATCTTGCGGCGGCGTGGAGGGAAAGGTCGTACGCCTTGGCTGGCCTCGGGCTTTACCTGGAATGATTCCGCTGTAGATATCCGGTGCACAAAGGTCACTACAATCATCGTAGTCTCCATTCGCGAAAAGCGCACGCTTTTCAGACACAGCAAAGTAACAAATGAGACTCTTATTCGCGTGCATCCGCACCAGGGAGTACGTTTTGTGCGTCATTTGTGCGTGAAGAACGTGGGACATGATGTTTCGATCTGCTTCCCATTCTGCGCGTGACCTTTCACTTTGTTGCAATATCGTTGATTGCTTCGCCTTTCCGGCGAAGCTGTGACTTTTTTCATCTTCTCGCAACTGAAAGAAAGTGTTTAGCATGCAGGTCTAAAAATAAAGTTGGAGGACGCTTGATCTTCGCCTTCGACAGCAGAACGCAGTAGCGTAATCGGGCCTCGTTCACATCGTTTCCTCAATCGCTTCGATTCCCTTCTCGATGGACGGTGAGAAAGCGAACGTCTGTGCGCGTAACATTCGCCCTTTCAAACTATTCTCGAATGCCTGCTGCAAGTACTCTTGGGAAGTGCCCACTACGGGTACGGCAACACGCGCATCTGCACAGTTGCACACGTTGTTGATGGTGTTGTTGTTCAATCAATCGACCAATCAATCAATCAATTTTATTCCTTTTTGCACCTAAAAAGAGGGGACAGGACTTGAAGCTACTACAGCTTGACAGAGGTCCTGCCCCTTTTACGAATGACAAAAAACACATAGCAGAGAAATAATAAGCGCAACACTATAAAAACAAAATAATGCGCGATAACAGTACACTTGCGAAAAATATAACAAAGTTTGTATGCACCAGTATACATTTATATATTCACACAAAAATAATATGCGCCAATAAATTTAATTGCGGATTTCGCAGATTAACAGATTTTTTGCAGATTTTGCGGATTGATAATGATAAATAATTATGCCTGTGCGCTTTGTAGCGGGTACGCCTTCAAACACCCACTTGTTGCACAATTGACACGGTTTGTCGCCTGGTGTCATTCTCAGTTATTGCCTCTCATGACATTCATATAGAGCTTATTTCCGAAGCAGCTTGAAGCAACGGCGTGACCCTGTGGCAAAACACCTTTTTCACAAAGGGGTGCTGGCTTCGACTCTCGTTCGACCCGAATTTAATTTATTAATTTATTCCCATCTTTCGCGATTTTGCAGTCACGTACAACGCAGATTTATCGCTTACAACCAATGACGCCGACGACGACATGTAGTATTCCTGATAAACAAGCTCTTCAACGATCACCGTGTTAAAGCAGCAGATTTCAATAATAAAAACAAAACAAACTTAATGCTTTGTCTTTAGCTGGAGACAAATCAAACTATTGCTGAGTTCATAATTTATTTCTTTATTTCTTTATTTTGTTTCTTTGTTTATGTCAGAACAGTAGGCCAATTGCAAGCCTAAGGGCAGACTTCCGAAATAAAAAAAAAAATTCGGGTTATAGGCTCGATGCAAGTGCTCACGTCTGCATGGGTTCTGCCATATTGGTTTGTACTCACAGTTACTGGTGGCTACTTATACAACAATTAAATGCATACAACATAAATGCGATCTAAAATAAACGTGCGACATTTCACTGTGGCATTTCACGTGCAAAAAAAAAAAAACGCAAATGCCTCAGTGTTATCTACTTTAGGACGATTACACATAGAACTGTATGTTGCCACACAAGCATATGATTTGCGTACACCTTGATGAAACTGGAGCTTGTGCGGTGAGGCCACGGACGCTCACTGACCCCACAGAGTTTCCTGCAATATTTACTAGAAGGAAGTTTGGCGCTGCGGTAAGCCACCAAGAAAATGATGGACTGCAAAATTGTCTTGCTTGCGGCTTAGAACGCTCTTGTGGCTGTGTTTATTGTTCTGTTCTGGCTGCTGTTTTTTATCATTGTGACCCTCTTGAGCACATTTGAATCCATCCATGAGTTCACCTGAAGAGGTCAGTCAGTGTGGTGAAGTGGAATGCTCAACATTTGCCGAACTTATTACGACAAGGAGGATGTAGTTTGAACTTTTATTGTTTGCAAATACGTAAGGTGAACGAGTCGTTATAGAATTTAGCCTGATTACAAGTTACCCGGAGCCAAGAAAGAAAGAAGCTTATCCACATACTACCCATCATCCTCACGCTGTTTCAAGCGACACGCATTACAGCTCCCATAGACACTAGCGCCAAATTTCCCTCTAGTGCATCAGGAAATTCTGGTTGACCCAAGGTGGGTCATGACCACGTCATCAAATATTGTCATGCCCGTGCGCCACTGCGAAACAAATAGTCCATAATTGGTATTTTCTTTATACAGCGAACGCTGTTATGAGATCGCAACAAGGGCCAACTCTGGCGCCGTAGATTTCCACCGCCGGTGTCCGTGATCAATATCTCGCGAAATACAAAAATTAAATAAATAAATAATGCTGAGGGCTGACTGGAAGTTGAACCCGGGCCCATTGCGTGGCAGCTTTGTGCTCTAGCAGTCATCTATGCTGGTGCTTGAAGTTTTGATGCAAAGTAACCCCATGCAAGCTTCATGTCGGGTAAGAAAGCGTTTTAGAAGGGTATAAAATAAGCACGAAGCTTCACAGAATGGGAATTGTGTAATAAGTGAATCAATGAACGCTCCAACCCATTACAAAAGCTTGATGGATGGGTGGATGTATGAACTTTATTTGGTCCTTCAGAACGTGCTTTAGCACGTTGCAGGCCGCTCCCACGTCGGAACAGAAAGACCAAGTCTCTCTGCTGCGTTGCGGGCCCGGTGGACTGCCCATAGTTGTTGTTCAAGTCCGGAGCTTGCAATAGCACCCTCTCATTTGGACAGCGTGATAGTTCCCCACAGCGTAACGCGGGGCACCGCCAGAGCATATGTTCCAACGTCGGTATATCGTGGCAGTTGGAAGGTATGTATTATTTGGCTGTATTTCGAGATAAATTTTGTTCGATAGCGCGTGATTAGGGTACGTCCCGTCCTGAAGAAGCCTGAGTGTCAGAGCCCGATGTCTGCTCAGTTTTCTAAGCGGTGGAGGGTATTGTCTCCACGTCATGTAAAAATGTTTTGTCAATTCATTATACGAGATGGGAGGGTCACGGTTTTCCAAGGCATCAGCGCCGCGCCCCCCGATAGCTACGCGGTTTACTAGTGCTCGTGCAGCTATGTGGGCTGACTTGTTTAGACTGTGCGGGGCTCCCTCAATGCGTCCCATATGAGCTGGGAACCAAACGAGTGTGTGTGGCTTTATGTCTTTGTTCCGAAGAATTCGCAAAGCTAGTTCCGATATTGTTCCCTTGGCAAATGCTCGGACCACTGATCTCGAGTCGCTGTACATTGTGGACCTCCTGTTATCCAGCAAGGCTAACGCAATCGCCACTTGGCTATTTCAGCCACCGTTGTCGAGTTGGTGATACCACCCTCGTGGTTGATGCTCACTGCCGCATACACCTTCCCCTCGGGATATCGGGCCGCATCGACGAAGGAGCAGTCCCCGGCATGTTCTTGGGCCCTTTGTAGTAGAGCCTTTGCCCTGGCCCGTCTTCTACCCTCGTTATGCTCGGGGTGGACATTTCGCGAAATGGGGACAACGCAAAAGCCCGATGCATAATTATTCATCGTCGTCAGCATTAACGAAGTGCACATAATGCTTTACAAGTAGTGGGTAACGAGTTTTTCCAAAGGATGACGAATAATGGCAGTGGACGCTTTCTCACTAAACAAATATTATGGTGATCTGTGATGTAGTGGGTACCATGCAAGCGTGCTTTTAGTAGTTGCTACAGGAGTGTTTGAAATAACTCTAGAAAGGCCGTTTTTTTTCCAGCTTTCGCTGTGACTGTGTTGCGCGTTCTGCGCAGGCCAGGCGGTTTAAAAAGGGTCATATATTTCATTGCGCCTTGTTAGCTTGTTTTCTACTATACCGTAGGCAACTAGTGCTCGAGCTCCATCGGACAACTTTGAATAGGAGTCAGGGTAGAACTGTGCAATACCCCGCAAGGGGTATTCAGTGACAGCCACATCTATCGAACTACGAATACTTTCCGAACAATCAGTATTCGCTGCATCATCGGACAGATCGCAAGCTGAAAAAAGAAAAACCAGTGTCTCCCCG